TCCTCCGCCTCCTGACCTCGTCTGTCTCTCAGGAACCTTCTGTTCTTCGCTTATGCTGTGGACGGGATTCTGTCGAACAGGTTCTCCTGCTCCACCCCAACGAAGACTTACCGCCCGTCCAGCTGCAGAAGCGCTGAACACATACGTGATGAGGAGGACGGACCTTCGTCGAGGGAGGTGCGAGAGCAGGAGCAGGAGCAGGAGCAGGAGCAGGAGCAGGAGCAGGAGCAGGAGCAGGAGCAGGAGCAGGAGCAGGAGCAGGAGCGGGAGCGGGAGCGGGAGCGGGAGAGAAAGAGGGAGGGGAAGAAGAGGAAGTGGAGGAGGGGAGAGGTCAGAAGGAAGGAGAAAGAGGGTGAGTGGATAGGAAAGAATTGAAGGGAGGGAAGAGAGGGTGAGTTGAGGCAGTGAACGAAGAGTATGAAGGGAGGGAAAGAGGAGGGGAGGAGAAAGGAGAGAGGAGGGCAGAAGAGGGGAAGAAGTTCGAGGAAGCAGGCAGCAAGATTCGAAGGAGCTGACAAAAGTGCGACGAGACAGGAAGGAAATGCAGGGGGTTACGGCACCGTCTCAGATCCGATACGTGCACTATCTTGAAGCTCTCATTTACCATGAAGTTGCCTTGTTCCTGGTTGCTCTTCTTGCAGCTGATCGTTGTGTTTGCAGATTGACTACATCTCTGCCATGCACCTTTCCATCCACGCCATCACCTTGTTCTCCTCGCCACATCCGCGAAGGGAGGTAAGATGGAGATGATGATGATGATGATGATGATGATGATGATGATGATGATGATGATGATGATGATGATGATGATGATGATGATGATGATAATCATGATGGAGATGATGATGATAGAGATGATGACGATGATGGAGATGATGACGATGATGATGATCAAAGATAATGATGATGATGGAGACGATGATGATGATGATGGAGATGATGATGAAGAAGAAGAAGAAGAAGACCGCGAATAATGATAAGGATGATGATGACGATGACAATGAAGATGACAATGACGATGACAATGACGATGACGATGACGATAATGATGACGATGATTATCATGCTGGAGTTTCTACATCTTTTCTCTGTGTTGTTTATGAGATCATAACAATCAAACTCACCAGGTTTGCCCGATCACCATCATCATCGAGGTTAACGGCAGAGTCGAATATGATCACAGCCGAACTCATGGAATTCAGCCGTTGAATCGAAAGTTAGAAATTGATCTCCTCCCTTCCATCTCTCCTCCTCTCCTCCTTCTGTTCCTCTCCTGCTCTCCTCCTCCTCCTCCTCCTCCTTTACCCGTCTGCTCCTCACTGCCTTTTTCCTCCTCCTCCTCCTTCTCCTCCTCCTCCTCCTCCTCCTTTTCCTCTTCCTTTTCCTCTTCCTTTTCCTTCTCCTCTCTCCCGTCTCAGTCGCTGACGGAGTCTTAGCGGGTCGAAGTCTTGGACTGTGAGCACGAGGAAGATCGCGATGAACAAGGCAAGCAAGCAGGAGATTAAACAGTCAGAGAAGAACGTCTTCAACTTCGATATCGGATCTCTTGCAGTGGAGGTCTTCTTCCCTCTTCTCCCCCCACCACCACCACCACCACCTCCTCCTCCTCCTCCTCCTTCTGTTGGTGATCTTCTCTTCCGAATCTTCTCCCAACCTTCTCCTCTCCTCCTCCTCCTCCTGCTCCAACTGCTTCTGCTCCTCCCTCCTCCTCCTCTCGCCCTCTCTGTTGCTCTTCCTCTCCTTCTCCTTACTTCCAGCAGGGCGACGTCTCTGTCCGCCTCTTCTACTTCGACCTGGACGAGGTCATGGCCAACTTTCCGACTCTTGTCAAGGAGGAGGACGCGCGAGCGTTTCCTACAGTCGATGCTGTGCTGGGCCCTGGAGCGAGAACCTGCTGCTGCTGCTGCTGCTGCTGCTGCTGCTGCTGCTGCTGCTGCTGCTGCTGCTGCTGCTGCTGCTGCTGCTGCTGCTGCTGCTGCTGCTGCTGCTGCTGCTGCTGCTGCTGCTGCTGCTGCTGCTGCTGCTGCTGCTGCTGCTGCTGCTGCTGCTGCTGCTGCTGCTGCTGCTGCTGCCCCCGCCCTCGCCCCCGCCCGTCCTGTTCCTTCCGCAACTGCTGATCTCCTTCCTCTGGCTACCTCTCTCGTGACATCCCGCCCCTCCCAGCTCTCTCTTCCTCTCTTCACCCTGCCGCAGGAGCTCTGCTTTGTCTCTTTCCACACCTCCATGCACAGCGGCCCCATCCAATTCGCCAAGCACGAGATCGACGGGGCGTACAACCGCTCCATCCACAAGTTCAGCCCCTCCTTCCGCCTCCACATCGAGTCCAGCAAGGTCCCAGCTCGGACAGGAGAAGCTCCAGAGCTCCAGGCGTCACCCTCGGGGTTCAGCAGAGGCCCGTCTCAGGTCTCCCAGGAGCTCAGGTGGGGGAGCCCAGCAGCAGCTGAGCTGGTAGTTGGGGCGGGGGGCGGACGGGGGGCGGCGGAGATGAGAGTAGTGTCGGTGTCATCGAGCATGTCAGAGCAGGTGTCAAACTCCTTCAGAAATCTGTTCCTCTACTCGGAGACAGGTCAAATTTATTTTCTCTCCTCCTCACTTCCTGCTGTCTCTCCTCCTGCTCATCCTCCGCTCTTTCCCCTCCCTCCCTCCCCCCTTCCATCCCTGTCCTCCTTCTCCTCCATCCTCTCTGTCTGTCTGTCTGTCTGTCTGTCTGTCTGTCTGTCTGTCTGTCTGTCTGTCTGTCTGTCTGTCTGTCTGTCTGTCTGTCTGTCTGTCTGTCTGTCTGTCTGTCTGTCTGTCTGTCTGTCTGTCTCTGTCTCTGTATCTCTCACCCTCTAGCAGGAAACATCATGAAGAAAGCCTGTCCTCAAGAGAAAACGTTCAGCAGCGGGGAGATAGTGCACGACTCGTCCGTCATGTCCACCAGCTCAGAGCTTTTCTACCTCGAGGAGGGAAACGTTCTCTTCCTCGACAGCAACGACAGCAGCTCCAAGAAGACCACCATCCTCAAGGGCGACACGCTTGCCGGCATGCCGAGAGGTCAGGGAGAGTTCTTCGGCATGACGGACTTTCTGCTCGGGAGGAAGGCGGTGATGGGAAGGATGCACAAGGTCCTTGCTACCTCGGAAGTCGTCCGTCTGCGGCGTCTCGAGCGCGACAACGGGAGCATGGCGCCGCCGCTGGAGCTGGCGGGGCTGAGCGGAGAGGAGGTAGCGATCCTCTACGAGAGCCTGTCCTCCTCGCTGGCGAGGCTGTACAGGAGGGTAGAGAGTCACCTGCACCTGCTGAGGAGGATGGAGAAGATCAAGAGGGACAAGAACGTGAGCGTGAGCCAGGCAGAGAAGGGGAGGCTGATGCGAAAGTTCATCCTCAAGTTCTCCATCCCCACCGACGAGACCGTCCTTGCCATGAGCTCCTGCTCCATCCTCTCCGGCGGCTTCTCCGGGGCCCATGGGCAGTTCGTCGTGCTCAACGGCTGGATACTCTTCAACGCGGGCAAGGTGATCCTGAGAGCAGGGCGCGCGGCTGAGGATTTCTTTCTCCCCATCGACATGATCACGAGGGTAGAGGCTGCAGGCACCAAACTCTCCCTCCTGTTCCACTCCGAGAGCGATGAGCTGGACTTCTCCCAGCACGGCAAGGAAGCGACCAACTCGAGGATCGGAGATTGGGGAGGAGCAGGAGCAGGAGCAGGAGCAGGAGGAAGCGATTCAGACTTGACTCCAAGGATTGTGTCGATGAGACTGGACGCCAACTCTACCCCGAGGACGCTGGTGGAGAGGCTGCTGACCACGAGGAGCGAGGGAGTGAAGGACGTGCTGCAGTTGCGGTTCGCCGACGAGGCTGCTTGCCTCGAGATCCGAAACGCCATCGAGATCCGGCTGGGGCAAGTGCGAGTTGCCCGCTGCTCCGAAGAAGGCTCCCGTCCTGGAAGCCTTGCGCTGAACATGGAGGGAGGAGTGCTGGGAGGAGGAGGAGGAGGAGCGCTGGGAGGAGGAGGAGGAGGAGCGCTGGGAGGAGGAGGAGCAGGAGCAGGAGCAGGAGGAGGAGGAGGAGGAGGGATGCTGGGAGGAGGAGGGATGCTGAAGAGAGTGATTTCTCTCGAGAATGTTGTGCAAGAAAGAAGGTCAATCGACCGGAGCCCCCCAGCAGCATTGGACGGTGACAAGCCCAAGAGCCGGTTCTCAGTGTTCAGTGCGCTGAGGTGAGGAGAGGAGAGAGGAGGAGGGAGGGGAGGAGGAAGGAAGGGAAAGAGTGGTATCAAGAGTGTTGGGGGGTAAGAAGAGGAGGAGAGGTACAAAAGGAATGGGATTAGTGGAGGTGGAGAAGGCAAGGGTGACGAGAGGAAAACGAACGGGAGGAGATGCGACGCTTGAACAAGGAGGAGGAGGAGGAGGAGGAGGAGGAGGAGGAGGAGGAGGAGGAGGAGGAGGAGGAGGAGGAGGAGGAGGAGTGCAAGGAATGTGAACGCGTTTGGCTCACCTTCCACCCGCAGGCCTTCAGGGTCGTCAAACCGTCTCATGATGGAGGAAAACGAGGTTTCTACCTTCCTGAGAGAGAGCATCCCCGCCCTCTGCTGCTGGATCCTCCCAGACGAGCTGCTGGAGGTCGAGGAGGCGGGGGTAAGTGCTTGCACTGGTTGGGAGCGCGTTAGGGGTGGAGAAGAAGCCGGAGGGGCGAGGATCAAATGAGGATGATGATGAGGAAGGAGATATAGATCAGGAGGAGAAAGTGGTACAGCAGCAGCAGCAGCAGCAGCAGCAGCAGCAGCAGCAGCAGCAGCAGCAGCAGCAGCAGCAGCAGCAGCAGCAGCAGCAGCACAAGGAGGAGGAGGAGGAGGAGGAGGAGGAGGAGGAGGAGGAGGAGGAGGATGGGTAAGTGCTGAATTTTTATCTGCAGGTGATGCGCAACTGGACCAATTTTCTGACAAGCTCGAGCTACCGAAAGTATCAGAATGATGAAGTGGTGAGACAAGGCGGAGAAGCAGCAGGGGCAGAGCAGACTGGGAAGAGAGGGACCGCATGTGATAGTGAAGCAGAGAGGGAGGGAGGGAGGGAGGGAGGGAGGGAGGGAGGGAGGGAGGGAGGGAGGGAAGGGAAGGGAGGAGTATGTAGCAGGGAAAGGAAGGGATAGAGAGATGTTGTATGGAGCATCACTGTTGAATGACAAGGTTTCAGATCATTCCCATCGGCTGTCAGGAGAGAAAACTTTACTTCCTACTGTCTGGCTCCTTGTGCTCGCAGAGCCTTGAGGGCAAGGTAACTCGATCATCTGAACTTCGCTGTCTGCCTGCATGTCTTGCTTCACTTCATCTCCATGCTCACCGTAGTCATACGTGCAGACCTCTTTCCACTTGTTCTTCCTTCAGATCATCATCTACAACCACAGCAAAACAAACGAAAAGAATAATTAGAAACATGAACAACCAGACTCGGTTCGTTGTATAACTTTCTTTCTCTAGAAACATTCCTTGCAAATTAGCCCTGGGGAGCCTTTTGGAGATGTCAACTTCTTTGAGATTGGAAATCGCGGATCCCCGTATAACGTGCTGGCATCAGGACAGGTATGTTACGGTGCCTGCTGATTGAAATGACGACGACGATGATGATGATAGCAATTTTGATGTCGATGTCGACGACTTTCTCTTGATGATTGTGGTTGTGATGGATGTGAGGAGGAGGAGGAGGAGGAGGAGGAGGAGGAGGAGGAGGGTATGATGTACTCCTTCAAATTCATCGTGCTTTCCCATCATGTTCACGACTTTCTCACATATTGCAGGTTGAATGCATCGATTTTGGAGAGGAGCACCTTCGACGATTGGTGGGAGACAACGCTCTTTTGCGAGCAAGAATCTACAGGTGATGCAGAGGAGTAGTGGAGAGTGATGAGAGGAAAGAGGGAAGAGCGGAGGAGAGAGAGAGAGAGAGCAGGAGATCGGGGAGAGAGGAAGAGAGAGGGAAGAGCGGAGGAAGAGGAGGAGGGGGTTAAGGGAGCGGAGGAGGCGCAACAAGTGTGCTGGCATAATCTTTGCTCTAGATCTGTAGCCGTCAGCTTCGCAAGGAGGGTTGATCGTCGCCTCGAGGTAAGCAAGTTTCCCTCCCCCCCACTCCCCCTGCCCTCCTCTTCCTTCACTCTCCCTGCCCTCCTCTTCCTTCACTCCCCCTGCCCTCCTCTTCCTTCACTCCCCCTGCCCTCCTCTTCCTTCACTCCCCCTGCCCTCCTCTTCCTTCACTCCCCCTGCCCTCCTCTTCCTTCACTCCCCCTGCCCTCCTCTTCCTTCACTCCCCCTGCCCTCCTCTTCCTTCACTCCCCCTGCCCTCCTCTTCCTTCACTCCCCCTGCCCTCCTCTTCCTTCACTCCCCCTGCCCTCCTCTTCCTTCACTCCCCCTGCCCTCCTCTTCCTTCCCGTCCCCCGTCCTCTCCCCTTTTCCACAATCTCACCTTGTTTTGAGTGCTCTTTGCCTCTTCCGTTGCTCTTCCCTCTCCCCTCGTTTCATCCGGCTTTACCGCCATCTCCTCCCTTCCCTGCTGAAATATCTTTCTCCAGTTTTTGCGCAATCGAGGGAAGGGGAGCATGCAGGTGAGGAGGAGGGTGGGAAGGTTGACTTGCCTGACGCCTTCTCCAGCTCGGGTTTGCTCCTTTTCTGTGAGTTCATGAACACCTTCACAACCAAAATGGAGAGGTGGAAGGAGGCAGTAGCGGAGGAAGAGGAGGAATGGGAACGGGGGGCGGGCAAGGAAGTTTAGGCCTGTTCACTGAAGTCCTCGTCTAATTCACTTCAACCACAACGATCATTGTCTAATTACAAGAGGAGGAGTCCCGTCGAATTTATTTCATCGCTGCCTCCATGTCCTTGAACGCCTCGAGCTTCTTGAACTTGCTGTCTTGGATCACCTGAGTGCATCCAGTGAGCATCAAGCTAGAGGAGCAAAGGAATGGGAAAGTGGGAGGAACTTGTGGTAGCAGGATGGAGAGAAGACATGAAGGAGGCGAAGGGGAGAGGAGAAGAGAACTAGCAAAGCAGTGGAGCATCAATATACCTCAGCGGAGGCATCAGAGGAGAAGTCAGTCGACCACTCCACAAAGGTCTCGTTGCTCGCAGTGATCCTCCTGACCCGTCTGTGCAGGCATTCAGTAAATTTGCTATCACGTTCACATCAGGACGGTACACACATTGTGTGGATGGTGCTCGAAACCGGAAGCGCCTCATCACTGGAGACAACCTCCCATGTGACGAAGTGCTCAATGTCGCTCAGCTCCCTGCACACCATGAGCAACACAGCTCGCGCTGCCCACCATGCCGACCGTCCTACCTGATGTTGATGGAGATGGATTGACCATCCTTGTACTTGAGAGCATGCAGCGATCCAACCTGGTCTGGAGTTCCGTTTGTGCTTTCAACCTTGTCCACCAGCTTCCACCAGGAAAATGACATGGGACGAATTAACGCCCATACCTGAAGTTTTGGCAAGACTCACTCGAGCACACCACCTCCTACAACCTCGTTCGAAGGGACATTTTCACAAGTACAACATCTTTCAAGAGAGGACAACACGAGAATGGCAAATACAAAAAAACAATCTAAAACATCATTGATTTCCTGCTAACTTGAATCACATTTCTCCACTGTTGAAACGCATTGCAAACGGAATGTAAAAGATCCGATACACGAGCACAAACTTTTCTATTCCGGATCTCAGTTTCACGAGTGCTTTGCACTTGCACATTCACAATGACACTGACACATCCATGCATCTGCTCTGCATCTGTTCCGATGTCTTTCTCTCTTGCGCTCTCCTCACCTTCTCTGCTGGGGCGCTCAGGCGGCAGGACTCGAAAGTGCGGCAAGCATGGATCATTTTGAGTTTGTCGAAGTCTCCTCGAGAAGTTCTTTAAAGGCCCTGCAAAAGCTCTTCTTATGAATCCGCTAAGGTTTCAACTAATTCGAATTTTCTCGTTCTAGTTTCAAATATTAGTCTTTAACATTGTAAGAATTCCCAGGAGCAAGTTTCATCATCTGAGAAACCTGATTCTAGAACTTCTCACGAATTCAAATGTTCAGTTTCTGGGGCACGGTGTCCCGCTGGTCAAAACGATTGAAGGCCTTGAAAATTAGGTAGGGGTGTGTTGATGCTGGGGTAGTATATGACTCTGGCATTCGACATATAGGTAGGGGTAATGATCAGGTAATAAGTATCCCCTAGCCTGAACATTTTTCCTATTGCAGCATCGAGAAATTTGATAGAACATAGCGAAGATAACCCTCAAGGTACACCAGAGCGGAGGTTTAGGGGGGTAGGGCATTCCTCTTGTGTTGTCGTGGGGGGTACTTCTGGTCAAACCAAGCAGGGGTGGCGATGTTGAGGCGCATCCTGCAGGAAGATATCTTGTGGGTGGGGTATAGTACCCTACCCTCAACTTTACAACCAATTTCTTGAGAAAAGAAGGGTTCATTGTGGAGGGAGAGGAGATTTCAGGGACGGTGGGTAATAAAGATGCGACTCGACGGATCGATTCACCTGCCGCGCCAACATTCAAAATCGAGCACATCAGAATCCGTTACAAACCCGTTTGAAAATGCCGCGAAACTTTCGGCGACCGTCCGTGAGTTCAACCGGCCCGTCGGACTGGCCCCGGCCCCGGAGTTCGGATCCGAGCGCTGAGTCCGAGTCAGTCCCCCGGGGGCGGGCCCCGCCGCCCCGCCGCTGGGCCCTTTACTCAAAGTTAAGGGGCCAGGCGTGAGCCTGAGTACTGACGGCGAGTCTGAGAGACTCTGAAACTTCGGACAGCGGCCGCGTGAGAACTGACTCGAACTTGGTGACCAGTCAACCCTTATCCGGCCCACTAGCTGGTACTGCTGCCCCCAAACTTAAAATTGTAACTTGTATGAGTTACTCAAAGTTTCGGAGCCCTTTACTCAAAGTTAAGTTAAAAATCAGTACGAGGACAATCAAAGTTTAGTTACTTGAACTATCACAGTACTTCCTTGCCGGTGGAATTATTAGTCTTCTTTTTTTAGTGACTGCTCGATCTATTTGCGGAGTCACGCCATCTTCCGCTGGGATCTACCATCATTGTACCCCTAACTCTACCTGATTCCTTGAGTTTATAATGAGGTGGGGTCTATCACCCAGGGAGATGCCGGTTGTCGGGCTTGTTTAGATACGAACTAGGCCATGGGTGGTGGGGTCAAAGAGCCTGTGAATAGGTACGGTACTCAGTGGGCCCGGACCCCACCCATTGACCGTGCGGCGCACGACCGGTAGGCTGATCACATGTGTCGGAGGGGTATTCTAGCAGATAAAAGGACGGGTAGTCACAAAAACGATGAGGAGGTGACAATATCAAGGAATTGGGAAGAGGTAGGTTGGGACAGCAGTCGGGGGGGGTGGGGGGTGGGGGGTGGGGGGTGGGGGAGGGTTGAAGGCTTTTTATTCGAGTTGTCCGCGGATTGTCCTCAGCAACAGGTGCGATGATCGGCATGCTTGGCGTGCAAGTGTGGCGTGCATGTGTTGCGATGTGAAGTCATAGCTCATTATCCCATTGATGTGAATGCGTGTGGGCAACTGAGTGGCATGGATCACGCGAAGTAGAAGGGCTCTGTGCAAGTTTGTGCATCCGTGAGCTTGAAGAGCTAGCCTTGAGGTTGTACATGTCTGAAGAACAACTTCTACGAACTCAGATTTTTGATAGTTAGCATATCGTTGTACTTGTGTTGATGTCGAAGAATGTAATTCAAGGTTTCCTGACTGACAATTCTTTCAGAAATGTTCCACGACATCGTTCACTTTCAGTCCCTCTCCTCCTGCGTTGGAAGCGCCTCCTGCGGAGTTGGCACGTCCTACGACACTGATGGCATCTACTTTGGTGAGTGTCCCCTGTAAAACATCCCACCATTCCTTATTCATGCACCAGGTGCCACCAACATCTCCAGCGCCAATGTCGCTGAGTCCTGGTTGGCCGACTCTGAGAGCGCTGTAACCTTCAGCATGAGCGGCAGCAACCAGGGCGCCTACAACAACTATGCCGCCATCAACACCTTCTGGTCTGACACCACCGCCATGGACAACCTCCGTGGAGCCGACATCACCGACCACAGCATCGCTGGATCCTTTGAGACCATCGGAGCCAACACTGCTGCCAACAATGTTCGCGGAGGCCACACCGTGCACACTGCCAGCGGCAACTCTGTCAGCTACGAGCAGCACTAAGTTGTCTCTTGTCGTCAGGCGCGTCATGAAAGTCAACCAAAGATGTCGTGAAGTTGCGCAGGGCCCCTCAGGGTCTATTTTAGTCCATAAATTCCAATGCGAAATCTCACAAATGACTGTTTCCCTTGTGTATCAAGGCCATGAGAGCTGTGTTTGCGCCCCTCTCACAACGAAGTCGCACTGGTCTCTGCAGTCTTGAGTGCTCAGTGGGCTGTAGCCTCGAAACTCTATCTGCCAGAGAGTAGCTAGAGTGCTTTTCGCTTAATTCGGTACTCTAACGTTGCGAGACTCAGACAAGTACAAACTTTCAGCCTGTCACTGACCCTTTCGCTATGTCAAAATTAACCGCTTTGAATGACTCACTGCGGTGAGGCTTTTACTCACGGTGGGCCGATCAGTGCTGAAGTTGCACCCGCGATGATGGAAGCGAACGATAGGGAGGCCTTGAGCTGACGAAAGATCCTGGACCCGATGCGTTTGCAAGTCGGATTACTTGAGACGTCTTGCGAGGCCGAGAGACCATCCAGCGCTGCCGCTTCCTTGTTCGCCGAGCGATCCGGCCAGCGCCACAGAAAGCGCAACGCATCATCCTGCAAGAGTCCATCAGTGCTGGCGATGATGGGAAGGCGGGACGTGCTGAGCATATGCATTACGATGCCCTCGGATCTTCCTCTGTGCTGCTCCTTGCAGTTTGCTCCGAGCGAGGTCCGGTATTCCATCATTGACAAAAACATGTGACATGCTGAAGTCCAGGATTAACCCATGCCATCCGCCTCCAGTAGCCTGCAATTGCGGAAGTTCAAAGTCCCCTACATGACGATATTCAGGGCCATGTTGGGAAACGTTCTGCCTGGTGCCGGGTACGCCTTGCACGTGGACGCGGCACCTCACATCTGAATCTTTGATGAGGGTACTGAGGACGGCATTGCACTTCTCATGCGCATCAGTCCATAACGGGCTGCAGTGCCTGCAGGTCGCCATGTGGGTGGTCCCCCCAGGATGATGGAGAAGATGGTTGCATTTATCGCTTTGCGGCGGGAGGTCAACCGGCAATCCACGAAGAAACTTGTCAGCGGCAGCCACCAAGCTGATGGGCTGCTGCTCAAAGATCCCAAGTTTTGCACTTTCCATAATTGAGAGTGCCAGATCCTTCGCTGAGAGGTAAACTGAGACAGAAGTTCATCAACCGGGTGGCCTGGTACTCGAAGGGGAGTAGAGAAGCTGGAGTGGTGTGCCAACAAAGATCTCTGGCGCTCAGAAAGGTTAGCTCGAATACTGCAGAACGAGGAAACTCCGAGAGGAACTGAGCCGTGAGCTCCCGCTGGGCGGGGATGAAGAGCACACTACCAGACGTCCCAAATAATTCAGGCGAGGGCATCCAGCCATTGTCGCACGCCTGAGGAAGCTCCGCCAAGGAGGTGTACGCCGAGATTCCCAGCTCCATCAAGTGCGTGTGAAGCAGATGTTTTTGGGAAGACATCTTTACTCAAAGTTCAGTTAAAGATCAGTACGAGAATCCAGCAAGTGCCTTGGTACAAATGTTTAGTCAATACACCAACGGCAATCTATTTCGGGCACCAACTTGGTGCTACTGGTTACGCCTCGTAAGGAACCCGCCTAGAACCGTTGCGAGTTTTGGGTGGGCCAGGGGGGCGTTCCCTTGCCATATCCTGCACCCTCATGTGGGTATGATGCGCGATGCCGCTCTGCATCGCAGACAGCTCGTGCCATATCGACCCTGGACACGAAAGACTGCAGTACACAGGAAAGGAATCTTTAATGACAACACCAGAGGCTGAAGAATATCTTGAGCAGGCTGTCGCCCATTGCCCTTGTGTACTGCTCTGGATTTCATGAACTTCGGAGCATGAAAGCGAGGATGGACCCAGGCCTAATGAGATGACTTTATCATATCATGGAATCGGAGACTGAGGACGCCGAAACATCTGTGGGGTGAGTCTGCCAGGTCAATCAAGCCAACGCCCAGGCTTGCCATGGAGACCATGAACGAGGGGTGACGAAATCAGTATGATCGAATTATGATGTCACAGGTGAAGTCCAGTCCCATCACAAGCAGGCATGTCTGTCATCCTGTTGTCAGCGGGAGGAGGAATGTTCTCGTCTGTCATCTTTGCGAGACTCGATGATCAGGCATGATCATGGTATCATATTACAACCGTAAAGAGTGGTTCGACATGCTGGTCTTATAGACACAGCAGTCTTCACCATGGGCATGAAATCTGATGATAGAACATATGGAATTGTTGGTAGATCATGTTGAGTTACAAGATTCTGTGCACATCCATCGTCAGGCATTGCTCAACATGCCAATCTCAGGTGACATGCTTCAACTTGTCAAAGCTATTGGAAGATCAAAATTGATAACAGTTCCAAAAAATACCTCTCACATCTCGCCAACTGGCCACATGCTTGTGGGGTTGGCGGATTCGAAGTTGCGGAATCACGCCATCTTCCGCTGGGATCTACCATCATTGTACCCCTAATTCTACCTGATTCCTTGAGTTTATAATGAGGAAGGGTCCACCACTCAGGAGATGCCGGTTGTCGGGCCTGTTAGATACGAACTAGGCCATGGGTGGTGGGATCAAAAGCCTGATGATAAAAGTACGGTACCGTAGTACTCAGTGAGACCCCACCCATTGCCCTACGACCGGTAGGCTGATCATATGGGTCAGAGTGGTATTCTAGCAGATAAAGGGACGGGTAGTGACAACAAAGATGAGGAGGGGAATTGAGAAGAGGGTAGGGTAGGTAAGGTAGGGCCGTTAGGGTGTGGGGGGGGGAAGGAGAAGGGTTGGGGAGGGGGTTGAAGGCTATTTTAGCAAACAGGTGAGGTGCGATAATCGGCAATGCTTGCATGCAAGTGTGGCGTGCAAGTGTAGCGATGTGAAGTCATAGCTCGTTATCCCATTGATGTGAATGCTTGTGGGCAACAGAGCTAGCCTTTTGTTGATGTCGAAGAATGTAATTCAAGGTTTCCTGACTGACAATTCTTTCAGAAATGTTCCACGACATCGTTCACTTTCAGTCCCTCTCCTCCTGCGTTGGAAGCGCCTCCTGCGGAGTTGGCACGTCCTACGACACTGATGGCATCTACTTTGGTGAGTGTCCCCTGTCAAACATCCCACCATTCCTTATTCATGCACCAGGTGCCACCAACATCTCCAGCGCCAATGTCGCTGAGTCCTGGTTGGCCGACTCTGAGAGCGCTGTAACCTTCAGCATGAGCGGCAGCAACCAGGGCGCCTACAACAACTATGCCGCCATCAACACCTTCTGGTCTGACACCACCGCCATGGACAACCTCCGTGGAGCCGACATCACCGACCACAGCATCGCTGGATCCTTTGAGACCATCGGAGCCAACACTGCTGCCAACAATGTTCGCGGAGGCCACACCGTGCACACTGCCAGCGGCAACTCTGTCAGCTACGAGCAGCACTAAGTTGTCTCTTGTCGTCAGGCGCGTCATGAAAGTCAACCAAAGATGTCGTGAAGTTGCGCAGGGCCCCTCAGGGTCTATTTTAGTCCATAAATTCCAATGCGAAATCTCACAAATGACTGTTTCCCTTGTGTATCAAGGCCATGAGAGCTGTGTTTGCGCCCCTCTCACAACGAAGTCGCACTGGTCTCTGCAGTCTTGAGTGCTCAGTGGGCTGTAGCCTCGAAACTCTATCTGCCAGAGAGTAGCTAGAGTGCTTTTCGCTTAATTCGGTACTCTCACGTTGCGAGACTCAGACAAGTACAAACTTTCAGCCTGTCACTGACCCTTTCGCTATGTCAAAATTAACCGCTTTGAATGACTCACTGCGGTGAGGCTTTTACTCACGGTGGGCCGATCAGTGCTGAAGTTGCACCCGCGATGATGGAAGCGAACGACAGGGAGGCCTTGAGCTGACGAAAGATCCTGGACCCGATGCGTTTGCAAGTCGGATCATCTGAGACGTCTTGCGAGGCCGAGAGACCATCCAGCGCTGCCGTTTCCTTGTTCGCCGAGCGATCCGCCAGCCGCCACAGAAAGCGCAACGCATCATCCTGCAAGAGTCCATCAGTGCTGGCGATGATGGGAAGGCGGGACGTGCTGAGCATATGCATTACGATGCCCTCGGATCTTCCTCTGTGCTGCTCCTTGCAGTTTGCTCCGAGCGAGGTCCGGTATTCCATCATTGACAAAAACATGTGACATGCTGAAGTCCAGCATTAACCCATGCCATCCGCCGCCAGTAGCCATCAGTTGTGGAAGTTCAAAGTCCCCTACATGACGATATTCAGGGCCATGTTGGGAAACGTTCTGCCTGGTGCCGGGTACGCCTTGCACGTGGACGCGGCACCTCACATCTGAATCTTTGATGAGGGTACTGAGGACGGCATTGCACTTCTCATGCGCATCAGTCCATAACGGGCTGCAGTGCCTGCAGGTCGCCATGTGGGTGGTCCCCCCAGGATGATGGAGAAGATGGTTGCATTTATCGCTTTGCGGCGGGAGGTCAACCGGCAATCCACGAAGAAACTTGTCAGCGGCAGCCACCAAGCTGATGGGCTGCTGCTCAAAGATCCCAAGGTTTGTACTTTCCATAATTGAGAGTGCCAGATCCTTCGCTGAGAGGTAAACTGAGACAGAAGTTCATCAACCGGGTGGCCTGGTACTCGAAGGGGAGTAGAGAAGCTGGAGTGGTGTGCCAACAAAGATCTCTGGCGCTCAGAAAGGTTAGCTCGAATACTGCGGAACCGAGGAAACTCCGAGAGGAACTGAGCCGTGAGCTCCCGCTGGGCGGGGATGAAGAGCACACTACCAGACGTCCCAAATAATTCAGGCGAGGGCATCCAGCCATTGTCGCACGCCTGAGGAAGCTCCGCCAAGGAGGTGTACGCCGAGATTCCCAGCTCCATCAAGTGCGTGTGAAGCAGATGTTTTTGGGAAGACATCTTTACTCAAAGTTCAGTTAAAGATCAGTACGAGAATCCAGCAAGTGCCTTGGTACAAATGTTTAGTCAATACACCAACGGCAATCTATTTCGGGCACCAACTTGGTGCTACTGGTTACGCCTTGTAAGGAACCCGCCTAGAACCGTTGCGAGTTTTGGGTGGGCCAGGGGGGCGTTCCCTTGCCATATCCTGCACCCTCATGTGGGTATGATGCGCGATGCCGCTCTGCATCGCAGACAGCTCGTGCCATATCGACCCTGGACACGAAAGACTGCAGTACACAGGAAAGGAATCTTTAATGACAACACCAGAGGCTGAAGAATATCTTGAGCAGGCTGTCGCCCATTGCCCTTGTGTACTGCTCTGGATTTCATGAACTTCGGAGCATGAAAGCGAGGATGGACCCAGGCCTAATGAGATGACTTTATCATATCATGGAATCGGAGACTGAGGACGCCGAAACATCTGTGGGGTGACTCTGCCAGGTCAATCAAGCCAACGCCCAGGCTTGCCATGGAGACCATGAACGAGGGGTGACGAAATCAGTATGATCGAATTATGATGTCACAGGTGAAGTCCAGTCCCATCACAAGCAGGCATGTCTGTCATCCTGTTGTCAGCGGGAGGAGGAATGTTCTCGTCTGTCATCTTTGCGAGACTCGATGATCAGGCATGATCACGGTATCATATTACAACCGTAAAGAGTGGTTCGACATGCTGGTCTTATAGACACAGCAGTCTTCACCATGGGCATGAAATCTGATGATAGAACATATGGAATTGTTGGTAGATCATGTTGAGTTACAAGATTCTGTGCACATCCATCGTCAGGCATTGCTCAACATGCCAATCTCAGGTGACATGCTTCAACTTGTCAAAGCTATTGGAAGATCAAAATTGATAACAGTTCCAAAAAATACCTCTCACATCTCGCCAACTGGCCACATGCTTGTGGGGTTGGCGGATTCGAAGTTGCGGAATCACGCCATCTTCCGCTGGGATCTACCATCATTGTACCCCTAATTCTACCTGATTCCTTGAGTTTATAATGAGGAAGGGTCCACCACTCAGGAGATGCCGGTTGTCGGGCCTGTTAGATACGAACTAGGCCATGGGTGGTGGGATCAAAAGCCTGATGATAAAAGTACGGTACCGTAGTACTCAGTGAGACCCCACCCATTGCCCTACGACCGGTAGGCTGATCATATGGGTCAGAGTGGTATTCTAGCAGATAAAGGGACGGGTAGTGACAACAAAGATGAGGAGGGGAATTGAGAAGAGGGTAGGGTAGGTAAGGTAGGGCCGTTAGGGTGTGGGGGGGGGAAGGAGAAGGGTTGGGGAGGGGGTTGAAGGCTATTTTAGCAAACAGGTGAGGTGCGATAATCGGCAATGCTTGCATGCAAGTGTGGCGTGCAAGTGTAGCGATGTGAAGTCATAGCTCGTTATCCCATTGATGTGAATGCTTGTGGGCAACAGAGCTAGCCTTTTGTTGATGTCGAAGAATGTAATTCAAGGTTTCCTGACTGACAATTCTTTCAGAAATGTTCCACGACATCGTTCACTTTCAGTCCCTCTCCTCCTGCGTTGGAAGCGCCTCCTGCGGAGTTGGCACGTCCTACGACACTGATGGCATCTACTTTGGTGAGTGTCCCCTGTCAAACATCCCACCATTCCTTATTCATGCACCAGGTGCCACCAACATCTCCAGCGCCAATGTCGCTGAGTCCTGGTTGGCCGACTCTGAGAGCGCTGTAACCTTCAGCATGAGCGGCAGCAACCAGGGCGCCTACAACAACTATGCCGCCATCAACACCTTCTGGTCTGACACCACCGCCATGGACAACCTCCGTGGAGCCGACATCACCGACCACAGCATCGCTGGATCCTTTGAGACCATCGGAGCCAACACTGCTGCCAACAATGTTCGCGGAGGCCACACCGTGCACACTGCCAGCGGCAACTCTGTCAGCTACGAGCAGCACTAAGTTGTCTCTTGTCGTCAGGCGCGTCATGAAAGTCAACCAAAGATGTCGTGAAGTTGCGCAGGGCCCCTCAGGGTCTATTTTAGTCCATAAATTCCAATGCGAAATCTCACAAATGACTGTTTCCCTTGTGTATCAAGGCCATGAGAGCTGTGTTTGCGCCTCATATCTCTAAATCTCACAACAAAGTCGCACTGGTCTCTGCAGTCTTGAGTGCTCAGTGGGCTGTAGCCTCGAAATTCTATCTGCCAGCCAGATAGTAGCTAGAGTGCTTTTCGCTTAATTCGGTTCTCTCACTCAGACAAGTACAAACTTTCAGCCTGTCACTGACCCTTTCGCTGCGTTGCACTAGGTGGGTCCGGTATACAGTTAACACTTAAGGTTCTGGTACAAATTTTAAGTGTTAGCCATTAACCGTTTTTCAACGGTTTTCTTATTCTCTTTCACGGTAAAGGGTTAAGTCTTAAACTTCAAATCCGATCAAAATAAGCACCGTCCAGGATTCATCGCGGCTAGTTAAATTTAAAAGTCCCAATTTTAATTTCTCCCCCCCCGCCCCTCGTCCCGTTCCTGCGTGCTGTGCTCATACAGGGGACACTCTCACCACAAGTATGCCATTGCATCGCGATACACCCCGTGTTTCTGTCAAACGTACCCACTTGTATCACCGTGAGAAAGTTTTTGTCATGCAGACTTCGTACAAGATTCTACAAATACTCATCTGTCATGTACTTCAATTGCGTCGCACATGTACTTCAATTGCGTCGCACAGACCCTCGTTCACCTCTGCGATTTCCTCGTCCTGATGAAGGGGATGGCGGTGAAGAAGTACAGACAGCCTCACCCTTGTCTGGTTCATCTTCATTCACTGCTTCGTCTGCGATAACGCTTGAAATTTGTGACGACGTACCTGGACTTCCGCTGTCTGCTGACTTGAAGGCATCAGAAGCATTTTCCCCGACTGTTACATAATCGAACTGAGGCATATTCGTGCTGACCCGCTTCTGGACTGTGTTCATGACTGCTTGGAACCGAGTATTGGTATCCTCTTCCTCAGCGTTTGCTATAGCCTGTTGTTGATTACATTTCTGTTCCCAGCGACGTTTCATACGGGAAAGTTGTAAGTACAATTCATCGATTTCGCTCATTGCATCACCGCCGTTCTGAGCACGTTTGATGTGTCCCTTCTCGCCTTTTTGTATGATGGAGTTGGCCTCCTTCACAGCATCTTGGAACTTGTCTCTCGTAGTACTCTCCTTCAAACAGCCATCGAACAGAGGATCTTGGTTGAGGGCGTCTGTAACATCACGGTGTACGTTTTCTTTCCTTGTTGGAGCCAAACAGCTTGCCTGGATTTCCATTCAAGCTCAGACGAGGAGTAGAGGTGTACGATGATGCCCGAACTCGGAACGTTTGTGCGTGGTTTGACAGCATTGGATGGTGTTTCACATGTTGGAGACATACCCTCTTGTCGTGTGATATCCGAGGTTATGGGATGGTCTGTAGAACTAACCTGTACAGTTCCATGGTTGTCTACCTCGCCATAGCAAGTTTCCAAGTTCTTGCTCCGCCATTCGGAAGCAGAAGCAATTGCGCGGGAAAATATCAAAATTTGACATATTCATGAATAATTTTGAATATATACAAAAATTTCGAAAATGTGCTAGAATCCTGTTAACGGTATACCGGAACACTCAGGTTTTGTCGTAAGTGTTGACGGTGAAATAAGGCCTGAAGAAATTTAACACTTAACAGTATACCGGACCCACCTACTGTCAAGTGCCACCGCAGTGCCGCTTTACCGTTCAGTAATGAAAATTCACCGCTGATCACTTTCAGTGTGACTCTGGTGAGGCTTTCACTCCGGCGGTGGGCCCGGATCAGTAAGTTCGGGCTGCCCCGGGGGTCGACTAGTTCGATCCGAGGTGGCGGCCGGCACTGTCACAAGCACCCGGCCGCCCGGCTGCCCGCCGGCCATAATGTCGGCCCCGCCGTTACTACGGTAGTACCGTACGGTCCGACTCTGAGGCCGCGCTGCCATCAGTGCACGGTGCCGCGGTGCGGCCCGGCCAGGTGTCCGCTAGTATCATAGTATCCGCGAGTATCCGCGAGTATCCGTGAGTATCCGTGAGTATCCGGGAGTAGTTTCCGTCGCTTCATGGAAGTCGCTGCGTTGGTAGCAGCCAAGGTGACGATGAGAGGAACGAGAGGGGAGGGGAGGGGAGGGGAGGGGAGGGGAGGGGAGGGGAGGGGGAGGGGAGGGGATTTAGGGACCGGAAGAAAGCACTTCAGAAGAGGAGCCGGAGGGAGA